ACGTCATCTCTTTCAGGGAAGACCCTGCATTTTTCAACACGATAATGCCAGACCACATTCTGCAGCAATCACAACATCATGGCTACGTAGGAGAATGATCCGGGTACTGAAATGGCCAGCCTGCAGTCCAGATCTTTCACCTATAGAGAACATTTGGTGCATCATAAAGAGGAAGGTGCGACAAAGAAGGCCCAAGACGATTGAACAGTTAGTGTCCCAACTTTTTTGGAATCCAGTTTGTAAAATTAATGATAAATTTGTGATTAGTTTAATTTATCATTTGTTTAAACAGGTTAGTCCCATTGAGCCACAAGGACTCATTTACAAGGTAGACCTGATTTTAACAAAGAGTGGTGACAACAGTAGACATTCACAAATGACGCATACAAATTTAAGTTTATATATATATATAAACTTAAATATACAACTGAAAACAAAATGATAATTAAAGGGATAATTAAAAGAAAACGAACAACAAAATACGAAAAAACAATCAGATTATAAGGTGGTGTAGAAAACTAAAAACAGGATCATGTCTGCATTGGTTCTTGCCAGGAACTTAACAAGTTTAAAACCACTTAGAGAGGTCAAGGTCCAAAGCTTCACATCTTTTTGCAAGATATTCCAGGAAACAAGAGCGGAGTAAGAGAAGGCCCTAGTTAGTTTAATATCTTACCCAACCATGATTATAAACATTTACATTTTAAGTGTTTCAGGATTTATTACCATACCATACCACTTTATTTATAACACACTTTATTTGTAAAGCACTTAAAAACAGCAACAAGGCCAACCAAAGTGCTGTATAGCAAAAACAAAACAAGCAAATGACACAGGATACAATACATAGATCCAAATAGGTAAAGATAAGAACTAAATTACTTGTATTTTATTTCTTTATAAAGGCATAAAACATGGTATTTAGAATAAATTTTAACTTATAACTAGTTACATTTGCTCTGTTAAAAAAACTTGGTCTCATGTTATAACACAATAAAGCTGTAAGCAATAACAAATTTCTCATTTGTAGTACTGAATCTACATTTTATCATAACTGCTAATTAAATTGTTTGTTTTATAGACTATTTAATAAATTGTAAATTTTAGTAAAAATAATTTTATTTTTCAGGTAAAAGCTTTGCCGTTTCACACCGGAAACACAGTTACACGATATTTTGAACGTCTTCATAGAACCGGATGTAGATGTCTGGTCGCCGTCACCTGATAGGCCAGCCACAGCGGAAGTCCCTCCTTTTCTACGTTTCGATTGGCTGGCTTGCAGTTCGGTTTCTTACTCGTCCAATGACAGGTTATAATATAGAAATCTGCCTTGACCTCCCCCCGGATTCACCTCTAATGCGAAGCCATGTTCCGCTCTTTTAGAAGCGTTCGGCAGTTTAACTGCCACCTCCGGACTTTGCAAAAACTCCAAGGCAACTCGAAACTCCTAATCTGCTCCTCCAGAATGGCCAGTTCGGAGTACAGAGTTGAGCGGGACACGTTTGGTGAGCTCAAGGTCCCGGCTGACAAATACTACGGAGCCCAGACTGTCAGATCCACCATGAACTTCAAGATCGGGGGACCCAGTGAGAGGATGCCCCTCCAAGTGATCAAGGCTTTTGGTATCCTGAAGAAATCAGCTGCTCAGGTGAACAAGGACTACGGACTCGACCCAAAGATAGCAGATGCCATCATTCAGGCTGCAGATGAGGTTTCAGCTGGTAAGCTGGATGATCATTTTCCTCTGGTAGTGTGGCAGACTGGATCAGGAACTCAAACCAACATGAACGTCAATGAGGTGATCAGCAACAGGGCTATTGAGATATTGGGAGGGAAACTAGGCTCCAAGGATCCAGTTCATCCTAATGACCATGTCAACAAGAGTCAGAGCTCCAATGACACCTTCCCCACTGCCATGCACATTGCTGTGGCCACAGAGGTCCATGAGGTCCTACTGCCTGGTCTGCAGACTCTGCACGATGCTATGGCTGCCAAGGCCGAAGAGTTCAAAGACATCATCAAGATTGGACGCACCCACACCCAGGATGCTGTCCCGCTCTCACTCGGACAGGAGTTTGGAGGTTATGTCCAGCAGGTGAAGTACAGCATAGAGAGGGTGAAGGCTGCCATGCCCAGGGTGTACGAGCTGGCAGCTGGAGGTACAGCAGTCGGGACTGGACTCAACACCCGTATTGGCTTTGCAGAGAAAGTAGCTTCTACCGTTGCTTCGCTCACAGGCCTGCCGTTCATCACGGCCCCCAACAAGTTTGAAGCTCTGGCTGCTCACGATGCCCTGGTCGAGCTAAGTGGAGCCCTGAACACAGTGGCTGTCAGCATGATGAAGATCGCCAACGACATCCGCTTCTTGGGCTCAGGACCTCGCTCGGGACTGGGGGAACTCATCTTACCAGAGAATGAGCCCGGAAGCAGCATCATGCCTGGCAAAGTGAACCCCACCCAGTGCGAGGCCATGACCATGGTGGCAGCCCAGGTGATGGGGAACCACGTGGCGGTCACCGTTGGAGGCAGCAACGGACATTTTGAACTCAACGTCTTCAAGCCCATGATGGTCAAGAACGTGCTCAACTCCGCGCGGCTCCTTGGCGACGCGTCCGTCTCCTTCACCAACAACTGCGTGGTGGGAATCCAGGCCAACACGGAGAGAATCAACAAGCTCATGAACGAGTCCCTCATGTTGGTCACTGCGCTCAACCCTCACATCGGTTACGACAAGGCGGCCGCCATAGCCAAGACGGCTCACAAGAAGGGCTCGACGCTGAAGGCCGTGGCCGTGGAGCTGGGCTATCTGACTGAGGAGCAGTTTGACCAGTGGGTGAAGCCAAGTGAGATGCTGGGCCCAAAGTGAAGTCTGGAAACCTGAGAACACTACACTACAAAAAAAATAAAACCTCTTTCCTACAGCGAGAAGAGAATTTCTGAATAAATCAGTTGTTGAACTGAATAAATATAAATTTTCTTTTCTATAAATTTTTTTTAACAATCTTGAATGAAAGTCCCTGAAAATTCTCTATTTGATATTATTTTGGTGTCTAAATGTATAGACCATCCTCTGAGTGAAACACCATTGTGATGTAGGCATTAAGTTATTAATGTACATCACAACTGTTTCCCCACCAAGGTGTTTCACACTGAATTTGAATTTTATCTTCTGTGTCATCGTTGATCCATCACAAGATGTTTGCAGCACCTTTTGTCTTAAGGTTTATAACTTACATATTGTCACAGTTCAATGAAACGTTTATTTCAACTTGAATGTGCTGTGATCAGATTTGTTTTCCAGCTCTGGTATAATTAGAAACCAGTCTAAAGGGAAAATAAAATCCTACAAAACATTAAATACTTCTTTATTACACACACAGAATTGCAACTTGAAAATGAACGCCAATTTAGTTCAAACTTGGCATTTATTAAAAAAAAATGTACAAAAAAAAAAAGTGAATATCTGCTCCTCTTTTACTTGGTCCAGCTGACTTTTGGGATATCATAATGCTCCGTCAGATTATCCAGGTGACGATTAAAATCCTGTAACAATAACAGAAATGTATTTTTAAAAATTTTCCTCAAATCTACAATAAAAATTTAACAGTTTTCACGATTTACGCTCAGATAACCTATACACATACTATAAGATTAAAACATACATTCGTTCAACCTTTATTTAGACAGGTTAATCCCACTGAGCCTCGGGGACTCATTTACAAGAGAGACCTGATTTTTAACAAAGAGTGATGACAACAGTAGACAATCTTAAAACATGCGTACAAATTTATTATTTGTTTTTTTAGCAAATGAAAATAAAATGGTATTTAAAAAGGATAATTAAAAGGAAAAGTAGAGAAAAAACAGCTGGATTATAAGGAGGTGTAGAAAACTAAAACAGGAACATGTCTGCATTGGTTTTTGCCATGAACTTAACAGATGTTTAAAGCCACTTTGAGAGGTCATAATAATAATAATAATACATATACATAATGACAATTCAAAACACTTAAAAATAACCTTGGGAAGAAAATTGTCCAAAAATTTAACTGCAGGATAAAATAATATCTAGATCAGGGGTGCCCACACTTTTTCAGCATGCAAGCTACTTTTAAAATGACCACGTCAAAGTGACTATAAGGCCCCGTTTACACAAGAACAACCTTTGGAAATGTTGGTGTTTTTTCAATGTTTATTGGGGATATTAAAATAAAAATAAGCCGGTTTACATGAAAAACGCTTTATTTTCTCTGTCAGATGGGTTGCCAGAAAAATAAATGAACTATAGTACTGTGGCTTTAAAATGATAGTATTTTGACCTATACTGTCGGAGTAAAGATATCCTAAGATGAGTTGTGTGTTGTGTTTGTTGAACATGTGCACAGAAAAGGAGGGGGTAAATAAGACATTTTAAATTTATCTGGCAACCCTGATGCCGGGCTCAGCTGCATTCATTGTGCATGCAGAGTCTGCATGACAGTAAAGTCCAAACTGGTGAACACACTGACGTCTCTTTGGACCCTGGATTTTATTAGTTTTGCTCCTACATGCTGAAAAAGAGTGAGTAGCACAAAAACACTCTGCTCGCTGCCATTTATTATAACTGTTGTTAGTGCAGAAAAACTTTGGACTGCAGCCACCTGTAGTGCGCATGTGCGACTTCTCACACAAAGATTTTGACCGGGGGGCATAAATAAGAATAAATATAAAAATTTCCCCAAAATTCTTCACTCTGAGACCTGGTTTGAGAGAATGAGGGCTCTGACTGGCTGCCCTGTATGTCAGTCAAGTAACAAATTTAATAGTGACGATGGATGATAGGCTGACGTCTTAATTTTTTTAAATGCCATGCGATCTACCCATAATGCAGTTGTGATCGACCGGTACTTCACGATCAACGTATTGAGCACCACTGATCTAGATGAACTGAAAGAGTTTTATAGCAACTTATGATCAAGTTAATCGAGTGAGGGTCCAGTTCTACAAGTGAACTACGAGCAGAAACGCGTCACGTAAGGTAAGACTCACCTCAACTCTGTGCTTGTGAGTCTTTGATGCTTTCTTCAAAATCCGCTCCATTTGCTGCAAAACAGGAATTTAGATCAAAGATATGAATTGAACAGTTTACATTTATAAATATTTTTACTAAGCAACACATTGTTTCGAAACAATGACATGTTGGGTTTTTTTGGGTCAGTTTGGAGAGATGTTTCAAAGACAACTAAGATGATAAAACATTAAAGGTTTCTGAGCTGCAGCTTGTTCTGCTGCAGACTGATTTTGGCCATTCATATGATAGGTAATGTAATGACAAAGGTCAAAACAACACACACGTTAATCATCTACCGACCAGTGCAAAATGGTTTGATTGACACAGATTACCTTATCCCGATAAAGCAGCCTGTAATGTTTTTTTTATATATGAGCGCCTTTAGATTCAGATTTACTAAGGGAACTGTGATAACTCAGCTGTTAAATGCAGCAGCTTTGTAATCCTGAGGCTATCGGTTCGAGCCCAGGTTGCATCAGGAGGGGCATCAAGTGTAAAACAACTGCCAAATCTTTCATTCAAGTTAACTTACTGTGGCAACCCATACAGAACGGAGCAATCGAAAGAAAAACTAACTCCACAGTCCCTAAAGTTTACTTTTCTGCTCAAGCTGAGCCTTCAAACTCATTTACATTACCTAGAACTTTGAAAGGTCAAATCTTACCCTCTTTTCCTGCATCTTGTCGAAAGCAACCTGCGCTGGTGTCCTTTTGTCAACATAAGCTTTCTTTGTTTTCACCTCATCATCACTTTGACTCGTCACAACCTGCTCCATGCGATGCTTACTCTCCTTGTTCTTCTTTTTCTTCCTAAAAAAATGTCAAAATAAAATATGTAGGTAGTCCAACTGATCAGAGCCACTTGTGAGTGTTTTATAAATAACTTCTAAAAGCTTTTCTCTTTTCCTGTGTGTTAGATATGTCAACTTGTTTTTAAACAAGTACTCTGTGACCCAATAATCATACTGTGCATGCCTGTTATTTTAAAATATACTTGAGTTCAATCTGAAGTATGGTACTTTGTTTTTAGTCAAGTATAAAGCTTTTACACAACAATGTGTCAAAGGTCTGTTATTATTTAAGGCAAAAATGTGTCCACATTTATAAAATAGTTACAGTTGCCAGTATATTGACAATAATTAGTTACAATGGATTGTCACATTACAGCTTTTCCTAAATTAAAAGCAGGTTTACGTTTGCCAAAGTTATATTTAAATGCTTGCTGTGTGTAAAAACTGAACAATACAATAATTGATTTTTGGTCTTTATCGAAAACATTATATTTTAAAGTAAACTACTTACATGGGTGTCAAAAGACTTGACACTTTGTTCAAACAATGTTCATTAAAAAATAAATCAGCAATAGCCTACGTGCAGTAACATGTTTTTCCCTTTTATGCTAATTACCATGTTTAAAGCCCTTTCTGAAATCCCATATTACCCTTAACAGCGTTAAGAATACGAATGTATTTCTTTGCTATACAGTAATTATTTTCCCACTTAGAAATATTTGCATTGTGTTACTTGATGTGTTGCGTAAACACCAATGTCTTGTTAGCATACAGGCTAACAGTAGCGTTTTTCCGCTTATCGTCATCATGACAGACTTTTGACTCGTGAAGCCTACTTCATCTATCATTACTAAATAATTCTGATACAAAACTCACTTTTTGCCAGCTGACATTTCATCGACGCCTTTCAGTTTCAGGGCACTCTTCTGGATCTTATCGTACTCAGACATTTTCGAGAATGTTTTGCTTTCGTCTTCTTCTTCTGTTTTAGTCACGTTACTGCACACTACCGCCACCTGTCGGGTTAAAGCGGAGAAAACACCTGCAGTGTCTCCTCCCCTCCACACGGTGGCAGTGCTTCACCTTGAAACAGTCAAATGCGAGGAAAAAAACCGGAAAAGGACGAAAGTCAAAGTGTAGCATGGTGTGCTGTGTGAATAGGAACTCAGCAAAGTAAAAGAAATGTTTGGCTACAGTTTATTTCTGAGAGCGCAGTCAACAAAATGTTTCGCAAGCAACGTTGCGATGTTTCTGAGCAGGGCGAACATATACAGAATACAAACATGCGGAGCTTCTAAAAACGTTGGTGGTAAGAAAGGACACGTCTTTTTATTTTATGAATTATAATGTGTACTAAATGGTGAGTGTTGTTATTGTATTATTACCATTTTATTACTTTAAACCTAGATCGTCTGACTACTTACTTTTATTGTTTTTCAGTGGTCAAATCAAAGGGGAAAGGCATGATGAAAGAAGAACTGAAGGGTCCAGAGGTGTGTAAAGATCCAGTCAAACTTACATCCTATGCAGTGGGGGCCAACATCTTTAAACAAGGAGACGACCCTAAACTGAAGCCTTTTGAGGAATACCCTGAGTGGTAAGTGCACATATGACTTTTATATCTGCCATTTATTTACATTTAATTTTGTGCTCTGTCGTCATAATTTGAAACTTCTTTTTAGTTTGAACCCCATAAACAAGGTTACCATGAGGGTCATAGAATGGTTTTGTTTTTATATGATATACGTTCACAGCTGGATGACTTCTTTTCTGCCCCCAGTCAGCACAGCAGCTGTGTAGCGCCTGACATGCCATATTGTGTCCACATCGTATGAACACAAAAAGTCAGCCTGTAGCTGTGTCAAAATGAGAAGGGAAAGTTTTATGAATGCAATGGACAAAAATCACATTCAGTACAAGCCTACAACTGGAAATCAAATTGTTGATGCCAGAAGTACAGTGCATCTGGAAAGTATTCAGTGCTTCACATTTTTACATTGTGTTATGTTACAGCCTTGTTCCAAATTGTATTAAATTAATGTATTTCCTCAACATTCTACACACAATACCCCATCATGACAACATGAAAAAAGATTTGAGATATTTGCAAATTAAAACTAGAAAACTAAGAAATCACAAGTATTCACAGCGTTTACTGAATAGTTTGTTGATCCACCTTTGGCACCAATTACAGCCTCAAGTCTTTGAATATGATGCCACAAGCTGAGCTCTCCTATCTTTAGGCAGTTTGTCCCATTCTTCTTTGCAGAACTTCTCAAGCTCCATCAGGTTGGATGGTATGTGTCTGTGCAGCCATTTTTAGATCTCCAGAGATGTTCAATGGGATTCAAGTCTGGACTCTGGCTTGGCCCCTCCAGGTCCCTCACAGAGTGGTCCTGAAGCCACTCCTTTGAGTTCTTGGCCACGTTCTCTGGGTCGTTGTTCTGCTGACAAATGAACTGTCACCCTAGGCTGAGGTCAAGAGTGTTTGGAGCAGGTTTTCATCCAGGATTTATCTGTAAACTTTTGCATTCATCTTTCCCTCTATCCTGAGCAGTCTGCTAGTTCTTACTGCTGGAAAACATCCCCATAGCATGATGCTGCCACCACCATGCTTCACTGTAGGGATGGTATTGTCCTGGTGAAGAGCGGTGCCTGGTTTCCTCCAAACACAACGCCTGACATTCACACCAAAGAGTTCAATCTTTGTCTCATCAGAACAGAGAAGGGGCGCCCTGCTTGTATAATGGTAGGGGAATCACTGCCTTTGACTTCATGCTTGGTGCGCTCTGACATGCACTGTCAACTGTGGGACCTTATACAGACAGTCGTATGCTTTTCTAAATCAAGTCCAGTCAACTGATTTTACCACAGGTGGACTCCATTTAAGTTGTAGAAACATCTCAAGGATGATCAGTAGAAACAGAACGCATCTGAGCTCAACTTTGAGCTTCATGGCAAAGACTGTGAATACTTACGTACCGGGAAATGTGAGTTCTTAGTTTTTGTTGTCCCCCCCCCCCCCCCCTAAATTTGCAAACATCTCAAAAAAATCTTTTTTCATATTGTCATAATGGTATATTGTGAGAATTTTGCTGAAAAAGTTTAATTCAATCCAATTTGGAATAAGGCTGTAACATAAGATGTGGAAAAAAGTGAAGCCAAGTGAATACTTTAAATTTAAAGTTAATCTTCATAAATGATCAAACTAAAAGAAAGTTTTGTAACCAGAAAAGAGTTCATGGGACAATTTTCATATTTATTCTGTGTTGACTTTTTTGAATCCTAAAGTAATCAGGAAAACAAGCCTGTAATCTCTACAGAAGTTCCTTATAAAGATTTTTAAAGATTACAATTACTCAAATTTTCTTAGTTTTTTTTAGGATAGTTGAGACTTGTTTATTTATTTTTTCAAATTAGATTCAAGAAAGCTTTTTGTTAAGTAGGGTGTAATTATCAACACCTAATTTGAAACTGACAAGTCTCAATTTATGGACTAATAAGAGATACAATGCATAATAAAGAACATGAATAATGTGTTTCATAATAATTTATAACGTTTAATAAATTCCTTATAATTTTTTTGTTACTCTTACAATTATTGCTGCAGTTTTGTAGGTTTTAGGCGGTGTTGGATATCGCTCATGCAGAACACAGATACGGGGGGGGGGGGATTAGGTGAAATGGGTAGAATTTCCTCTGTTTGCTTTGTATTTCAGCTGACACTGTAAGAGACGCATCAGTTCTTGAAGAGTTGGAGGAACATGAGTTTGAAGCACTCGTTTGTAAATGTTCTGGTGTTTTCATGGCTGTTCTTTTACGACTCACTCAGGTTGTTCCAGCTGAACTTGGGGCCGCCCGCACAACTCCACGAGCTGAAAACTGATACCTGGGAGTACTGGAAACGTCTCAGGAAAGAAAACATTTGGCATCACAACAGACTTCATAAAGGGAAGAAGTTTTAGACCTGTAAGGACCGGGCTGCAGATTCTTTCAGTTCACTGGGAGTCTTCACGTTCTGGACTGAAATGACAGCGAAAGTGACGTGACTCATGGTCAAATGTTAAAATCAGCTCTTTGTCATAAGTCACACACAGGGTCGTGTGAATCTATGCTATAGTGACTGTGTAGTGGAACTGTTTCAAGTTGTTGGTTTTTTATTTACATGTAATTGAAATGCAAAACCTCAGTTAAAATGTAAAATTGAAACACTGCATGATGCCAAGTTTCAAAGCTGTTTTGTATTGGAAGAAGAAAAATGTAGACCAGAACAAGACCATTATACTGTAGTCTGCATTAGATTTAGTAAAGACATCTAATTTTTATTTCTAAATAAATTACCTGGCTTGTATCATTGCAGATCTAAATTACAAATAAAATAATGTCAAAATGAAGTTCTGTGTACAGTTACTTTAAAAAATATAAGGTTTTAATTGTTAAATAACATTTATTTAAACAACTGAATAACTTTATGGGGGAAATGCGTACATAATGTGTATAAACGTTTTTCCACCATTAATTGACCACTTCCGGCACATAACCACTTTTAAAGATGGCGTCGATAAGTGTCGTTGCCATGACGACGCATGCAAATGAGCGTGCTCTGCGAGAATGGAAGAAAATGAGGAACCGAAATGAGAAGCGACGCATTTGGGGAAGAAAATCACGTTAAACTGGAAGAACGTCAGAGAAAAAGTATGTCGGACATCTTCGCAATCAAAATGACGACGGAGTTTGAGATTTAAACATCTGCTCGGACTTTTTTTTTTTTTTTTTTTTTAACTGATTCGGTAAGTTTTCTCGTTGATGGCGGAAGCGGCTGCGCAGGTTGTAAAACTCGATCTCCCAGGAGTTTGGTTTTCTATTTTTGATTCTATTTTTTTTATTTGATTACGCTTTTAGGTTGCGTGTATGAATCCATATGATTTTTGCTTGTTTTATGGCGTGTGTGCCTCCAAGCAGATTTTTATAAAGTTGGAATGCGGGGGAGAAACACAGGGTCGTGTTGTGTTTATGACTATTGTTTTGTGGATTGTCAGGCTCGTAAACGAAGTGGAGGGGGTCATTCATATCACTGTTTCTGCTCTATTTTGTTTTTGTAATTCCTGCTGCGCGTTTATGTGTGAGATCACAATTATTTTTTTGATTTTTAACGCATAAAGTTTTACTTTTATATCTACGTCTGTTTAGATCTTCTGGATTATTGGAAAAAAGTAAAACCGAGAATGGAAAACTGGAAAATGAGCATGGGTAGTCTCAGTGGAGAAGTTCTGAACAAGCTGTCAAATATGTTGGACAACGCCACCTGTGGATGGAGACAACTAGCCAGCGCTGTGGCCGAGCAGCCACAATTCCGCTGCAGGTGATTCCCTGAATGCACCACGAAGGGAACACGTCTGTACAGATGATTAAAAACATTGTAAAAAAATAAATAAATCAAATTCTCTTTTTTTTTACACCAGTCAGCCTTGTGAATATTTTCCTATGTTAATTTTATCTGTGTTAAGGTTTGTTCCCCATAGTATGAGATATTTTTGCATGTTTTATTGATTATTTTACTCCTCTGACACTAAACGACATCCTTTTCAGTGAAAAGGAGTTGACCAGTTGCTCCCTTCAGGTGTTGAACTCTGCAGGCAGTCCTGCACGAACTCTTCTGGCATGGCTCTCTGATCGCCACTGCACCCTGGACTTCCTCCTTCACTACCTGAGGAAGATTGACCATCGAGAAGCTGTGCAGTTCCTCACTGCCACGGGTAAGTTCAAGAAGACACGTCATATACACCTGCAAACAGATTCACAACTGGGTTTTTAAGTTTCCCTTTAACTCTCTAAACTAAAAGATGCAAGATTAACTTAAGCTGTTAAACAATTTTACTGTTATCACTACTTTAAATGACCAGTGCATTTGATTATTTAACATAAACTAATACTTTATATTTTTATAGACATTAACTTGTTACTTCTTTCTTTAAATTTAGAAATAATGTTCAATGGTTTAATCTCAGGGGGCCTTTCTGGGTGGAGTTTGCATGTTCTCTCCGTGCATGCGTGGGTTTTCTCCGGGTACTCCGGTTTCCTCCCA